GCCATGCTTGCTTTCTCCATTCTGTTTTCTGTGAAGTTTTTTGAAACTAAGCAGATGTCATGCTTCACTGTTTTATTAATCAGAATATGTAGTCAGTAGAAGACTTTATTTTTAATCTCATTACTTTAGTTAATGCTGCAAGGACACATTGAAAGCATACCTCAGGAAAACAGATGTTGAGCTCAAGAGCTGTCGACCGACCCCTGTGGTGCTGCAACCTCAACAAAGTGGCATCCTATTTCAAGGTAAAGCATCTTGTGCTCGAAGCAGAGAAGAGAGAATGGAGGAAGGAAAAGGAGAGAAATCCTTGCTTACAGCCTACTTTCCTGGGGAAAAACTGCAGCTTCTGTGGGCGTGTCTGTGGCTCAAGGACTGGATTCTTAAGTCACCTCAAGACCCATCAGTGAGATGTGGTAGAGTAATACTTGAATCAAGGGATTCTGATGACTTCAGTTGTCTTGTAAATACCATTGTATAACTGTCTTTTTTCATTTTAGCTTCAGTTAGAGGGATAACATTGCTTTATTTGTATAGTAAGCTTCTGAGTACAATCTTTGGTGTAAGGTGCGTGGTTTATTAAATGTTAAACTATAGAATAATCATTCCATTATTTATTAAAAAGCTTGTTTGTGCTTTGGAACAAAGACAGGATAAACTCTAGATTGTAAGTTCTTTATTTTCCCTATCATTCATTTGGGGTAGCATGGAGTTATAAAAATTGCATTACAGTTACTTCATGGATTTTGATCTTGCACATGTGGACTAAAAGACTCTTGAGGTCCCTTACCCTATGATTCTCCTGCTCTGTAATACTGAGTAAACAAAATATCCACTTCTAGTCTAGAAATCAGTTTATGGAAGTATTTGAATAACAAAAGATGGTTGTTTGGCAAACAAGCTTTAAATAGTACAAGAACCTGGAATTTTTCTTGGTCAGTGTCCAAAATCTATATCCATAGGAAACGGGGTTGTTAATCCATTACAGACCCCTTAATCTTCCATCTAAACTTCTAATAAAAGTAAGAAATCTCTTTTGTTTTCCAACAGTTGGTTGGGGCCACTCTTTCAAAAGGTTTGACTCTGTTCTGTTTAGTAACTTTTACTTTAATAACTGAAGTTAATAAATATTAACTTATATTGGCATATGCATTTGTTATGACTGTTTAGAAAAAATAAAATTTTGAAATGTGGAGCAAATTGATCTACTGAGAGGGAAATGATGATTTTGACTAGAAGTAAATACTGATGTTTTGAAATAGAGGATTCTGTGCTCGCCTTTTAAAGCCTTAATTTTATGCACATTAATCTCATTGCAGGTCAAAATATGAATTCTTAAATCCTACGTAAATGATCTAAGTGACAAGAATAGACTATTTATTCAAACAATTGAAGGTTCTGAAAGAGAAGCCAATGACAATTTCTCATTTGAAAGTTAGACTACTGGGAGCTGACCAGATAATTAATGTAAGAACATTAATACTGACTTGCTGTATATAAACTCATTTGCAAAATTTTTATTGTGGCTAAAGCTTGTTGAGTTTTACAGTTTTGTATTTGACAGGGAGGTATTTTTGTATGTTTTTGTTGAAATGTATATATAATATAGTTTTTCTCAACCCTCTTTTTGGCATTTCAAGAACATTTGTTGCATTATATTTTAAAATGAAAATAAGAGCTTTAAGAATGCTTCAAGGCCTTAGAGACCTACCATATAGTCAGGGACTAAAGAAGTTCATTGTAGTTAGTATAACAAGGAACACAGAAGTGACTTAGTCCAAGTCTAAAATATATCTAGTTGGGAAGAAAATTTAGGATAATAGTGAGTTTTTTAATCTCTCAGGCTGCATCCACATGTTCATGGATGTTTGGTTCCATAGGGACAACTAGTGGCAGCGCACCTTGTGCCGCTGCTAGTTGTCCCCAGGGACATGCCATCTGGCATATGTGGCAAGTTACCCTGGGTAGGGTAGGGAAGGCTGGGGTGAGCAGTGGATTGGCCCCAGCAGCCTTACCTGGGGACCTGCAGGCCTCCTGGGGTTGCAGCAGTCATGATCCTGCTGCGTGGAGCCTGGGTGGCAGTGGAGTGTGGCTCTGGCCGGCCAGGCTCCAGTTCTGAACAGCGTGCACTGCTGCTGTATGCTTTGTTCCGCTTTTTTTTAACCTAAGTTTTTTTTGACCCGTGGATATGCAGTACGTGGTGCTGCAGATGTGTCTGTGGCACCACATACCGCACGGCCACAATTGTCTGGATGTGGCCTCAAAGGCATTAAAAAGTCCAGTAGCAGGAACATGTAGTAGGAACATTAAACCAATTCAATCTATAAGCAAGTGTAAATATTTTACTGGGGGGAAGAAGGTGGCAAAAGTTATCCCTTGTAGCAGATTGTGTAGGGGTGTGGTAAATTTTTCTTCTCCATGGACTGAGACCTTGTAATTGTGGAGATGCTTATCTGTGCCAATGATCCTCAGAGATGTGTTGCCCAGAATCTCACACTTCTGGCAGTGTCATTCATAGTGAACAAGCCTGAGACAAACCACTGTGTGAACCTGAAGTCCTCAATGGTGAATTAGGTGGAAGAAGATGTCAGAATTTCAGTGGCTGTAAAGATGGAAGAAAGCTGCATCAAGATGGAGGTCTCCTGTTGTCTAGGGTTCTCTTTTGCCACGGGGCTTACATCTCCAACTTGTCAAGGGCATGTAGTTGTTGTTTCTACATACCAGCTTCTTCCATGTTATAGTCATGGAAAGGCCTCTACCACTGGAAATGCATGGTCTCCTGTACCAACCTCCAAAATGGATGAGTGGTGACAGAGCCATGGTTCTCAGCCTCTCTTCATAAAGCCTATTCTCCTGCCCTCTGTGTGTGGCTCTCCTCTGGACTTTCTCAAGCTTCTCAACATCCTTTTTGAATTGTGGAGCCCAGAATTGGATGCAGTACTCCAGCCGCAGCCTCACCAAGGCTGAGTACAGTGGGAGGATGACATCCTGAGATTTACTTGAAAAGCATTTGTGGATGGAGTTCCCTGTAGGCATTGACAAACATCTTATGACCCTCTGTTTTAAGCTTAGTAACAACTAGTACCTGGTCTTCATGAATGTGTATGCCCCAATGCTTGAGACTGACAATGATTTCAAAGAGCAGTTCTACTCTAACCTTGATCATATGCTGGCTAGCCATCAAGGAGGACAAAATCATTCTTTTGTTAACTTCAGTGCCAGAGTTGGATGTGACCTGTGGCTCTGGAGTGGCACCATTGGGAAGGAAGGATTAGCGACAGCCTATTCCAATGGCATCTTTCTTCAGAGAAAATGCATGGTGCCATGGGCTTTTCATCATGAACACCATGTTCAGACAGAGTGACAGGTAAAAGAAACATCCTTGCTCTAAGCATTAGCACCTCCTCAAGTATGTTACTGTTAGAGCCTGTGATCAAATTGATATCTGTATCATGCGAGCCATGCAAGAAGCTGATGGTTGTTGGACAGATCGCTTACTTGTCAGATCCATCATGAACATTTGGCTTGCCCCAAAATGCCAAAAACAGCCAAAAGCAATGCAAAGGACTCTCAACACCAAATTACATCAAGATCCAAAAGTCTGTAAGAAGCTGCAACAGTGTCTCTGCCCTGTTCACAAACAAAGGCAACATTGGGAAACTTTGGAAGAGGTTTAAAGCTGCCATCCATGTGGGCTCTGCTAAATCCATTGGCTATATCACCTAATGACACCAAGACAGGTTTGAGAGCAACACCAATATTCAAGCACTGCTGCGGTAGAAGAGAAGGGCTCATTCTGCTTGTCAAGATGACACCTTGGCCAGGTACAGATGTTTAAAAAGCCCACGGTGGAAGCAATCTAAGTTACGTGCTTTACTCTAAGTGCTCTAGGTTAGTTCAGGAATGAACACAACACACATTCATCATTTGGTGGGGAGGGTACACAGGATGCCTGTACTGGCTGAGGTTTGGGGCACTCTTGCATGCCTGCCAGCATGCCCCGCTGGCTCCCTGCGCTGCTGGAGACTCCTGAGTGCAATCGAATGGGAAGGCCACCTCTGATTAGTTGTTGGGCCCTGGGGAGCAGTCTCCACACCCCTGCTACTCTGTCAGCCACAGGAATCTGTCAGCCTCAGTCAGGCAGGGAGGTGGGGAATGCTGGTGTCTGCATACCCGTGTCTGTGTCTGTGCATGACAGAGCAGCAGGAGGAGGGGAAACTGCTCACCAGTATTTCCACCCCCCCCTCCTGCCTGGCTGTGGCTGCATCTGTGTCCTGGTGTCTGTGTCCTTGCACAACAGAGCAGCAGGAGAAGGTGTAATTGCCTCCCTGATTGCATGGGTATCAGCATTCCTCCTGCCATGCCTGGCTGCACCTGACAGCTGGCTGGAGGCAGAAGGTGGGGTTAGGGATAAGCAAGGATGCAGCATTGCTCCAACTCTGTTCTCCATATTTTTGATAGTCATATTAGTTCTTATTAAGGAACGCCTTTCTTCTGTAATTGACACTGACTACTAAATGGATGGAGGGCTCTTCAATCTGGGATGTTTTTGCTCAAAGACCGAAGTATTCAAAACAACTAGCCTTGACCCTCAATATGCTCACGACTGTGCGTGCCATCCTTGTGCACACTGAGAAAAAGCTCCAGACTGTACTGGATCTTTTTGGAGAAGGCCCAAACTTTGGGCCTTTCTCTCAACATTGAGATGACTAAATGCTCTATCAACCTGCCCCAACCCATGAGTGTGATCCCTTTCCCCAAATTACCATTGAGGGAAAGACTCTGGTAGTCGAGCACTTTTCCTACCTCAGTAGCTTCCTCTCTCAGAGAGTGAAAATTGATGAGGAGATCCAGCACAAGCTCCTTTGGGGAGTTGCTTTGGTGAATCATTATTCATCACAATCTCCAGAAAGACACCAAGATCCAAGTCTACACTTCAGTCATTATCTCCACTCTCCTCTAGGGATGTGTGACGTGGGTCACCTACCATTCTCATCTCAAGAGCCTGGAGAAGTATGACTAATGATGCCTCCAGAAAATTCTCCACCCATCATGTGGGAAGATTGCCGCCCAAATGTTGGCATCCGTGTTGAAGCCAGCATTACTGGCATTAAGTCAGTGATCCATAAGTACCAACTTTGCCAGACTGGACATTGGATGTCATTGCTTGACTCTTGATGTTCAGCTTGCAGGGAGGACACATAAGTCGCAACATAACAGTTTTCAGATATCTGAAGGGTTGCTGTAAAGAAGAGGGAGAATGCCTTTTCTCCCTTGCTACAGAGAGCAAGGCATGCTCCAATGGCTTGACATTGAAGCAGTGTATTTTTAGATTGGCTATCAGGAAAACGTCTTCACCGTTAGAGCACTGAGGCAGTGGAATAGACTGCCTAGGGATGTTGAAGAATCTCCGTTATTGAAGGTGATCAAGAAGAAGCTGGATAAGCATTCATCAGGGATGATCTAGGAGTGGCCTTGCCTATGCTCTGCTGTGGGTATTTCCCATGCTTCTGGGCTCTGGTGGTCACTGCGTGGGGCTGAGAAGCAATTTTTTTTTCTTCTGTTGCTAGACAGAAGGTGAGGAGTGAGCGGTGGAGGTGGTTTTACCTTTTTTGGAAGCATGGGGCATTGGTTGTAGCTAAGGTTGGGGATTTTGACTAAGGTATGCTAATGCTCCTGCTGGGACTACAATCTGCAGGTTCCTGGCTAGGGCATCTTGTGCCTCCACTCAGGGTTAGACCACTCTCCACTTTTTACCCTGTAGTCAGATTGGTACAACAATGGGGTTGTTCCTTTTTCCTCTAGCAGAGGAATGTGGCCCTTTTCTCTGGATCTTTTGAGTGTTATTTTGACAACCCTTGCAGCAGCAGGAAACTGATCACAGTTGTCCACCTGCTTTACTTGTGGCAGGTAGAGGGGAGGGGGCCGTCCCTTGTGGTTGTGTGTTGGAGTTGACTGTGTAGTTTTAGTAATAGGTTAGACAAGGATTTTCATGGGATGGTTTGGATACCAATGATCTTGCCTCTGCAGAGGGTTGGACTAGATGACGTTCTGAGGTTTCTTACAGCCTTATTTTCCTGTAATTCTATCATCCAAGAGAATCTTTTCTCTTTTCTGGAAAACTAACTATCTGAATTGCATAGTGGGAATATGTCAAGATTATTTTACAAGATTTCAATGATACTGCTGTTGCTATACATACCTTATGCTAACAGAGATTTCTTTCTTATGAAGTCACTGGGGATAATTGTTCCTGTCTCATTTAAAAACAGCAGTTCCTGAGTGTTTTCTTTTTCTCCAACAGAACTAGTTACTTAAGCTTTCATAAATTGAGTTCAGAGTAGAAGTTAGAAAACTTTTCTTCAATACTTATTGATATCAACTCCTGTTATGATCATCTAAAAATAATCTTAATCCTTATGTATAGATCAAGATCCTTTGTGGTTCTTGTGACTAGAACAGAAAATTCCTTAGAGAGAGGTTTGACTCAACAAGCATTCATACAAGGACCATGTCACAATGTAGTTATTTCAGGTACTTCCTAAATCTGGACTCTTGGGCAG